CGCTGCCGCACGAGGCTCGGGCGGCTGTCGCCCCGGGCCGGGGGACGCGGGCGCCGCGCCCGGGCTTGTCGCCACCCCTCCCGCGGGTCCCCGAGGGGAGGAGGTTGCTGACTCTGCCGGAGAACTTGCTTAGCTGCAGAGAAAGCAGCAGCACGACTGGTTCTCCAGCTTCAAAGCCCTATTGTTCACTTACGTATTTAATTTGTATCCAAGGCCAAACTGGCCGAAACTCATTCTAAATCCAGGAGTCCAAAACTGTAAGCGGCCGTACTACCGGCAAGCAACCTCCTTCCGCACCTGCGGCTGCAGATGTTTCCAAAACCTTTGGCGGGCACCCTACTTGCAGGTCCAAGCCCAGGGATTTGGGGCTTGGATGCCCCCAAGTTTTCCTTGCCCTCGGCCATAAGGACCCCAGGAGGAAGCAAGGGAGGAGACCCCCATTCCCATAACCTGGGCTTAAAGCTGCCGCTCCTCGGTGAGCGCTCAACCACGCCAGAAGAGCAGTTCTCCCGCGGTGCCGTTCAGGCAAACTGCCTTCTTGGACACGGCTACATGGTATTTCCCCTGCCAGGTTAAGCATCACCACGCTTGTCCTGAGCCTTCACGAGGCTGAGACATGCAACACGGTGCAAATCGGAGGTGTAAATCAGAGACGTAGGAGCTGCGGGGATCAGGACCCCAACCAAGACAAATGCATTGCCTGTACAGCGACCCTGGCTGAGCGTCTGTGCAGCTACCGGCTGGGGACAGCACGCGCTCTGGGCACTGCTGGAGGGATGTGGTAGCCAGGATGGTCCAGAGCACGTGAGAGAAGCAAAGGTACTTTAGGGTGATCTCTCTTGCTGGATAAGAGATCCAACGAGAGGGACCCCCAGCAAAACTCCAGGCCTCTCAAGTGTCTTTCAGCATCGCAGGGGAAGGAAGGCTGCGCCTCGTTGGGGACGGCGTGAGGCAAGGCCGGACGCGGGACGAGCTGACGGCAACAGCTCCAGAACAAGCAGCAGGCAGGGGCGAGAGCGTGGCGGCCTCCCCCTGCTCCCGCCCCCGCTGCCTGGCGCGCGGGCCCTCCTCCAGCCTTGGCCAAGGTGTCTGAGTGGCCTCTTGCCCCAGGCTCGCGGGCTCTCGGATGCTTCCCCGGGCCTGTGAGCTGGGCTAATAAAAGGTATCGTCTCTGAACCAAGAGCTCTAGTTTTGCATTCCCCAGTCCCGGAGACGCTGCAGAAACGCAGTCGCCAGGAGCGAGCCGGTCTCCGAGGAGCACGCGGGGTCGCGCCGTGGCTTTGCTCCGCAGCCGGTGTGCATCCGCAGCGTGGGCGCAAGGGGAGCCCACGACCTGCTCCGCTGCTCCCTGTGCCGAGCTGAGACGGCCGACGCCGCTTCACCGGCTTTAAAGCCGAGAGCTTGTTTTGAGCGGAGCTGGGATAAAAAGCCTGGGCATCTGCCCAATTCAGCCGGCCGCTGCTCGGCTGCAGAGAGGGCCGGGAGACGCGGGGGAGAGGGCAGGTGACTCATGGGAGTGTGGAAATAAACAGGCTGGAGCTGACTTGTGAAACGCGGCTGAAGGCGGGTGTGAGATGCCCGGCGGGCGATGCACTCGCTGGGCTTCACCCACACAGATGTGAGCGGGCGTGCGACCGGACGGCTGCGCGCGGGGCCGGGGCCGGGGCCG